CCAATCACATAGGTAGTGGGTAGTTTTTGTTGTAAACGCCTATACAAATGGACCCCATGTATTGAAATGATGCGTGCCTGTGGTTGTAATATGTGCAACCTGTGAAAGGAACGTGTATGTAACTTGTAACCTATAGATGAATATGTGAAATGATATATACGAGAAAACCTTGAGTTTGTGATTATCTCCAAAAGTGAGTGCGTGCTCTCAATTATCAGTGGTATCAGAGCCTTATCCATAAAATTTCACCACATCTGACCATAGGCCTGCTCTCTCCAATACCAAGCTCTGTTTTTTGGATTCTTCTATCCCGAATACCATTCTCCAGATCATTCAAATATTAGGGATTTATTGTCCAATTTAAACATCGATGCCCAAACCAGCTAGACTTTTGAGTTCACTTATCTCCTACTACTCAACAAGATAGGACCTATTTCTCTAGGCCCTATTAGTATCTTTCTGATAAGTGCTTCGTAGATAACCAATTAATTTTGCATATATTGGCTCTGAAGATCTTGGAAAAGGACATACATCAAATAAGTATGCTAACTGATGAGGATCATAATCTTGCTGCCATAAAATTGTTAACACTTTATGCCTCGCGAGCCATCTGTGTAACAGTTAGTGAAGCATCCCATTGTAAATAGTATCATAACAAGGAAATACCTGTTTTCTTGCCTTAGGACCTGTATTTTCACTACCCGCTCCAATGCAAAAGATACTGGCCAACACTGCTTTGATGACCAACCCAATTATAACCAAATGGTAAAAATGATTCGTTTTAAGCTCTTCCCAGATGTTGGGCCTCAAGTTTTCACCACACCAACCTCTTTCTATCATCCGTAGGAACTTTGTTCCATATGTCATCTCCTACAGCTCCAGTGTGAAGATGTAGGCCTAAAAACTTCGTCGGAAGCTCCAGAATTTTGCCTCAAAAAACTCGGGTTACAGTCTCCAAAAGTCCTACCTGCTCCCAGCACAAAGGCATAGCACAAGTTTTCTCCATGTTAACTCTTCAGCCAGATGGCAATTCAAAACATCTTAACATAAACTTTACAGCTAGAGCTTGTCCAACTGGCAACCCTCTATATATGATTGTATCATCTGCAAATTGGAAGCAAGAGACATTTGGCAAGCCGGTGATGGGAGAGAAGTGCTCAATCCACTCCGAAGCCAGTGATGGGAGACAAGTGCTCAATCCACTCCAAAGTATGCCCCTCCTTGATAACATGCTGAGTTTTCTGCAATATTGGTAAACAAAAAGGGGAACAGTAGATCACTTTGTCTAAGGAACCTAGAGAATAGCCTTTGGGTTCTCAATAGATCAACACTGAAAAAATAAAACAAAAACTTTACCATCCAGTAATTTACAGCAAAACTTCTACGATTTCATGACAACTTAATTTGCTCTATCGAATAGCAGTTCTTTCAATCATTTGCCCAAATGATTACATTCAATGATCTTCCATGATAATTAGCAATAAAGTCACACAATTGACCTACATCAGCCTTCTGAAAAGGGAAGCTAGCTGTTAATTTTGACTACAAAAAGGTCATATGAAGCATTTGATCGTCTGATTACACTAAATACCTAATAGCTCCACCAGTGCCCTCCTAGATTCTCTTTCCTACATTCAACAAACTTTAGAGCATTCAACATTCCATCTAGATGAGTTAAACTAAAACATGAACAAACCAGCCAAATGCTGCTTCTGTTACTCAATTTATTGAACAAATTTACTCTTGCCAAGACTTTGTCTAGTCATAGGATCCAGACACAGGGAAAGGATTTAAACATGACAACGTACACAAGTATTTAAACTGCACCCTATAAGGATTAAGATCACATCCCTACACTTTTAATAACTTCAAATCTATTAGTATCCTCAACTTGACCAATAAGTTCTTGGACTCCACTACATCTTATATTAAAAAATCAATAAATGTGGAGAACAACTTTGCAATGTCAAGGAACAGGTCCAGACACCAAAACCCAAAAAGGAACAACGGCTAAGGTTGGTACTTATCTATGTTTTAAACAAGAATATCTGGAATTACAAAAGATTACATTTACTAAATGGAAAAGTATTTTTAAGTTTGCAGTCACTGAATCAACATTTTAAACCCTGAAACAGCTTTGAAAGAGTTTAAAGTCCCGGTGACTTTGTTCTCATATCTCTTATCTTAGTCATATTTTAAATCCAGAAGCCACTTCCATTATTATATGGAGATAGTCATGTAGTCCTGTTGTGGAACTTCCAATCCTGCCAACGCTTTTGCGTTGGAGGGAAAAATAAATGACGCGCGAGAATAAAGGGTTAGGTGAGGTAACAAAATGAATTTGCAGCCCAGGATGATGGAAATCAGGGAAATTTATGGTATTGACCCCACCCCACCCCCCCCCCTCCCACCACCACATACACACACGGCGGGAGCCTTCTTTTCCCTCTTTTCCACTAGGTAAGCTAGGTCAAAGTTGCAAGTCTTCCAATTCAACAATGGTGAAACCCAAGGGAAGTAATTATATGTAGGAGAAGCTCTGGTACATAAAGGAATAGATAAGAAGGATTTAGCAACACAATTGAAAAAGAGTTATGTAAATGACATACAAGATGGGAAGATTGTGGAGTCCACAAAGCCCAGTTAGTGTAGGCCCACAGCTCTCCAGGAAGATGAGTTAAGGATTCCAAAGAGAACCAAAAATAGGTGTGGTTGGTGGAGGGAAAGAGTAGAGTTAAGGACAACCCAGTTAAAGATTTTAGGGTGCAGAGCAGGGTAATCATGTTGAGAAGGACAAGGGCTCAGATGAAGAACCTAGTAATTAATGAATGGGAGTAGAATAAGAGAGATGAAAAATTTCAAAATACTCGAGGGAGAAGTCCAAAGACTTAAAAACAGAATCTCCTAAACTCTCTCAAGTTGGAAAACTTAACCGAAAACAGCCTGAGACTCATTTAGTAAACAAAAAAATCTCCTAAACAAGGAATTTCAAGTTGGGTTCGGAAGGATTAAAATGAAAACGGGAAAACTTGATGGAAGTATATAGAGGTTTCCAGACCTAAAGGGAGAGGGGAAGCAGGGGCAAAGGAAAATGACAAAGAGGTGAAGCCGAGAAGATACCCAGAAACAGAGTTGCGGGAATTCCAAGTGAGTGATGCTGGACAGGACGTGACTTGTAGGCAAAGGGTCTCGTGAAATGAAATGACATTGGGGAAGGGATCCAGTTTTACTTAGGAAAATAGAGACCAAAAAGGATTTTGGAGAGCCATGGATTCCCAATCTGGCAGTTAGAGAGAACCAGAAAGGGGAAAATCTTTAGGAGAGATGAAGTTGGGGCTGTTTGTCTATGGTGAATGTGAAGAAAAGCCGCCATATTCTCCAGCTTGAATTGCTTGTCGATGTTGTTTTGCAAACTGAAGCTATGGTGGTGCAGCTGTAACTTGTAGTAACAGAGAGCCATTGGAAAAAATCTTGGCTGGTGTAAATAAAGTCTAGCTTAGGTTTGGGAAAAAAAAAAGGAGAAAGGAGGAAATGTAGATGTCGCATGTTGGACCTTCAACTAATGCAGTTAATGCCTATATTAGCCGATAGCCATGCTGATTGGGAGGACAAAATGATTTCCTACACATTTGGGTTCATTTTGGTCAAGCCCATGTGAGAGATATGGGTGGGCTATGGAACAATAGAAAAGGCAAGATATGGCAGTGCCCATTCTCCAGATTAAGAGCTTTGCACGAAGGAAATTCTCCCTAGGCCCTCATCTTTCTGTATTGCCAATCCCCAGTAAAAATGTAATGGTCATCTCCAGCTGAGTTCTGCTATTGATGATGAACATATTCTCCTCAAAAGAATATCTTAAATTGTACTGGCCCTGTTTCGGATGCCTTGGGCTCATTCCAAGGCTTTAGTAAAGCATATTGAAGAATCAAGCTAGTTTAATGGAAGACTAGATTTTCATTACTGTAAAGGGCTATACTCCTCAGAGTCCTTCGAATAACATTGAAGGAACTGAACAAAAAAAATATTCAAAGCAAGAATTCAAGGAACAAAAGGCCAAAGAGGAGGTCAACTGGGTCATCAAACAAACCCTCATGGAAGGTATGAAACTGAAGGCGTAATTGAGGGATGAAGTTCATTACAAGTTTTAGACAAAGAAACCATTGTACAAGCATACACACAAGTTACAAAGTAGTATAGAAGATACAGCAAATACATGATACCAAAATTCCAATAATGAATTCAATTCAGGCAAGGGGAACTCCCAGAATCAGACCTCAAGATCAACTCATATAAACAAAGCTCTCATATCCTTGATGATTTTAATCTTCAATTAATTACTGAGGAAATTGAGTCCCATCCTTCAGTTTAAGGAAGCAAATTTGCTTTCTCCCCCAACATAAAAGCCTATACGTATCAGATCTAAAATCACCAGCAGAACAGCACGTTCATCATGAAAGATCTACAAGTATATGGAGTGTTGCTTGTTTGACTAAAGTTCAATCAAATTAGTTCACACCGCAATGAAAACATTTCAAAAGATTAAAGGCTCTAATGACAGTCATACATCAAATAATATATACTGCAAACCGATTTATATCAATCACAAAGGGAATCACTCCACAAATTTGGACCATCAACATAGAAGAAAGTGACAAATCAATCCAAGATATGCCTTTCGAACAAATGGACATATCATTAGCGCCAGAATTAAAAGAAACACTGTGTTTCTCTCTGCTACCAGATAATAAAAATTTTCCATATCCCTATGCTACCAAAATAATATCTTCTGCACTTATTAAATCTCCCATCTGAATAGCTTTGCATTTGAAACCTAAACCCTAGCTAACAAAATTTAAGGCTCTAATGAAAAGAATGAAATGAGCCAAAGCTATAAACCACATGAAGATTAACACAGAAATTGGTAGACAGCGATAGCTAAAACTCACAGCAGGACCCCAAAGTGCAACACAAAAAGGAAGTGGAAAATGATAGAAAATTGCCTGTTTTGCAGAGAGTGGCATTTTTGGTAGAGTTAAGGAGCTTGAGGCCGGACCTAAAACCGCTGAAAGCCATGATTTCTCTCTCTCTCCTCTCTCTCACTCTCTCTGCAACTATGCCCTAAAAACGAATGCTAATTGAAAGGTCATCGCTCCAAACTTTTTGTGTAAGAGAATACAACTACGAAATTAAGGAAATTTGTTTCATGCTGGCTGGATCGCATTTCTACACTATGCGGTCTCAAAGTATATTTAAAATAAGGGTGCAGTTTGTATAGAGCCTAGGCTCTAAACAATCAAATTAGAGCCTACCTTCAAATGGTATCGAGAAATGTAATTTTAATATTAAAAATTTTTGTAAAAGCTTTAAAATATATTTTTATATTTATGTATAAAGTTTAAAGCTTCAAAAATAGTATAGATCAACATGAAAACGTGAAAATCTTGAAAATTGACGGTCCAAAAACATGTTACAAAATACACTATTTTCAAAACTTGAAATCCATTTGTTTCTCACGCCCATGCATATTGATGTCGAGATGATCGATTAGAAGATATTTAAGCATCAAAATAACCTCTTCTAATGAAATTTTTGATGTAGGCTCAAATTTGATTGTTTAGAGCATCGGCTTTATAAAAATTACATAAGAAAACCGAAATTAATAAGGTAGGGAATAGCTTAGTACTTGTTTATGTATATCATACATGTGGACACGCTTTACAATCGTCCGATGCAATAGTTGAGAGTCCTGATTCTTTGCACAAAGTTCGCCAACGCTCTTGAGGGTCATTGAGGACGCGCACCAGCCGTCAATTCTTCACGTCGTAGGTCGAAAGTGAAAGGATTTTATCATTTGCGAAACTCTTTGTGAAAATTTTACATTAGACCTATTCTTAGACTTAGAGTTGGCCGTTGGGTTGGGTAAACTTGATTAGGGTTTGGGTCTAGGTCTGGGTTTTGGACCCAGTAGAACAGATCCATGTCCAAAACGCCAAGTCCAAGTTGAATCTGGGTCAGGTCGGGTCCAAGTCAACCTGATTCGGAATTGATCTGAACATAATTATACACACACATACATATGGTTATACATACATACATATATTATTATATATATTTAATACATATACATATATGATATAATTAAAATATCTTTTGAAATATATAATATTTTGATAAAGTTACGTGTGCGTGTGGATATTTGAAATATATTTTTTGAATATTTTTTTAAAATTTTTTGGTAAGGTTCTACACCCAGACCCGACCTGGACTTAAACTGGGTCAATCCAAGTTTTTGACCTGATGGCTTGGATCCATGTCCAAAACCTTGGAACCATGCTCGGTCCAAGTCCAGATCGACCCAGACTTGACCCCACCCCTAATTAGGCTACAAAAAAATTATTGGGATCAGACTACCTCTAACTAAGCCACAAACTTTTGTTAAAAACAAAAGAAGAAAAAAAAAGATAAAGAAAAAGGAAATTTATAGAGAAGGTTGCAACCTTAAAATGTAGAATTGCAGGTGCACCTCAAAAATCAATCATAAAAAGTTGTTTGGATGTTGAAAACCCATCTAATTAATCATCTCGACATCGAGATGTATGAATATGAAAAGAAAAATAGATTTCGAGTCCGTAAAATAGTGTATCTTGCAACACATTATCTGTACCGTCCATTTTCCTGATTTTCATGTGTTTAGAGATCTACTTGACTTAAACCATTTTTAGAGTTTAAAATTTTATAACTAGAGATGAAAATAGATTCTCAAGCCATCTTAAGAATTTTTTATATCAAAATTATATTTATGATAAAACTTAAGGGTGTGCCATGATTAAATTGTTTAAGGTTGCAACCTTATACAAAGCACACCCTTATGCTTAAATATAACATATACAAAGCACACCCTTATGCTTATCATATTTAGAAAAATATATGTTATGTAGAGTAATGATCTTATGAGACATTCCCACACCCATGTGTGTAGGAATTTAAACGATCATCATTAAATTTGGCACAGATCTTTAGAAAAGTCAGGTCCTTATATATTATGCAAATGTCTCATTTTCTTACCTTTTTTAATCTCCAAATTTCTCCTATTTAAGAACTAGGCAGCCAAATGGATGTCGTTTTGTTAATGAGAGATTGGTTCAGATATTGTGAATCCGAGTTACTCCACTTATGTATCTTTTTGTCTGTAGGCTTATTGACATCCATTGTATGACCAGTCTCTTACTTAGAAAATCACAAGTGGGTGGATTCTAGGGGGTTGTAGAAGGGTCTAGTCGGGTTTGGGTCGACCTTGACTTGGACCACACGCAACTGAGTCCTAGTTGGACCCTAACCCAGACCAAGTCCAAGTCATTAGACCCAAACCCAACCGGGTGAGTTACTGGTTTATATAAGAGTATACAAAAATTTTATTATGTGCTTAATAATAAATAAAAGTATTATAGGTTATTCACATGCTGAAAAGGCCTACTAGACTTCATATCTTCCGTTGTTTCCAACACGATCGCACACATTTTTTAGGAAATTTGCACAATTTTAAACACATAGCACAAATACCATAGGATCGAAGGCCTCTTTAAAGGTCCTATGTCTTTGTCTTGCTGGTTCAAATGCCAATAAGCACCAAAGAGCCATCGAGCCCATGCACCCAATCCCTCTTTCTTTGGCGCCCCATGGGCAAGCTTTCGAATTTTGTTGAAAGCCTCAAAAGCATAATAAAAATTTCAAATATTTAAGGCAAATGACAAAGCATGATAATCCATTAAAGGAGAATTCTAAACAAGCCTAGCCACCTGGACCGGGAAGTGTGGAGATCTCGAGGCCCGAGTGGAAAGACATTATAATAAATAATTTAATAAAATATTTAATGAAAAATTTTTTAAAATAAAAATATTATAACATCCAAACAGCCGAAATCTATTTCGTAAAAAACACTTTTCTCGAAATATATTTCATTGAAAATAAATTTTTCTAGGTAACAAACGCCCCGTGAGGGAACCAAAAATCAAAACCCTCATGTGCTAAACAAATAGACGCTATGAAGTTTCGCATAGGGGCAATCAAAATCAGGAGACTCACGAGCCAAGAAACATTAGTAAAAGTCAAAGAACAAACTCAACAACCAGCAGATGTTTGTGCCAGAAATCAAAGACAGAGAGAGAGGAAGAGATAGAGAGAGAGAAAAAGATTAAAAAAAAAAAGAAACTTTTGTCGGGTTAAACACCTAAAAGGGCCCGTCCATCCCTATGTAATAAGAAAATCCCTCTTCCTCTGAAAATGAAAAATTAACGCCCGAGTCCAAAACTCAAGGAGTCAGGGATCAAGGGGCAACGCCGCTCGACAAAACACAAAAACCTTACCATCCGAACTCTATAGCGATGAGGATAATATCGAAAGCTCAAGGTGACCCAACGACACTAGAGGCATTGTCCGTTACTTTCTAAGACCAAGGCTCGATTGAAGTCCCCCAAAACTTCCCTTTGGATCATGACACAGGCCAAGATATCGAGGACGTAGAATACTAAAGGATCCCAATCCTACGATCCTAGGCAATTGAGGGCAAAAGACATTAAATAGATGCTTTACCCATTTGCAATTACTCCAAATCATGATCATGTGTATTTTGGTATTAAATTAAACTGAATAGGTTAAATATTGAATTATTAACTAAAGGTTTAAAAATTCGATCACGATCTGATTCTCAACACGGCTTATCCGGTTAATTCCCTACCACAATTTTAAAAAAAGTAAGCCTGCCAAACTTTTATACAAAGCTTTCACGTGTGTTACTTTTGAGTGAGTCAAGTTTTCTCTCGCTCTCTCTTAACGTGAAAATAGGCCCTTTATAGTTGGTCTCTCTCTCTATATTTCTCTTTCTCTCTCTTAACTGAATAATGATCTATATCCCTGTTTCTCTCTTAACTGAAATTAATAATAATAATAATAATAATAATAATAATAATAATAATAATAATAATAATAATAATAATGATGATGATGATGATGCTGATGATAATAATGATAATGACAATAATGATGATAATAATAAATAATAATAATAATAACAATAAGCCTTTCATAGTTAACTCTGAAAAAAATAAGCCTTTTATAGTTGGCTCTCTCTCTTAACTTTTGAAAAAAAAAATTTAAACAAATGCCTTTCATTGTTGTTGCTGCTATATTGAAATTTTAAAATATCATAATTTGATGTATTAAATTTTTGTGTTATTAATAAATTATTATGGGTGCAGTTTGTAAAGAGCCGAGGCTCTAAACAATCAAAATAGAGCCCACCTTCAAATAGTGTTGAGAAATGTGGTTTCAATACTGTAAATCATTGTGATAGACTTAAAATATATGTTCATCTCCAATTATAAAATTTAAAACTTCAAAAATAGTGTAGATTGAGCATATTGATGGTCCAAAAGTACATTACAAGATGCACTATTTTCAAAACTTGAAATCTATTTTTTCTCATGTCCATGCATCTTAATGTCGAGATAATCAATTTGAGGATGTATGGGCATCAAAACAACCTTTTCTAGCAAAATTTTTGAGGTGTGCTCTAATTTGATAGTTTAGAGCCTCGGCTCTATATTAAATTTTCCCAATTATTAATGTTACATAGATTATATTATTTTCATATTTAATATATTTTGTAATTTCAAATTACTATATTAATAACTTACACTTATATTAATAAATAGCTTATTATTAATTTGTTGTTGATATATTAACTTATTTAATAGAGCAACAGCAGTTTAATATAATTAATATAATTTTAAATTATATTAAGTTGTTATTCTTATATAGAATATATAATAATTTATTCAAACAATTCTAAGGCGTATATCGAACGACTCGTTGAATTGTCGAGAATTTTTGTTTTCAAGGATCATTCACCACTCTTTTTATCAAATGTTCAAAACCATCGGTCTACATGAGCCAACATGCATGCAATGATAATTATAATAGTACTTAAATTAGAAAAAACTAAAAAAAACTACAAAAGAACAACACTTAAGTTTGCCAAAGCAACACCTTCTTTAGCAAGATGGTCGGCCTCCATATTAGATTCACGAAACACATGGCCATACATAACATTCAAATTGCAGCATTCCATACCCACTTCCCTCACCATACCATGTAAGAACCATCGAAATTCAGCTTCTCTCTTTATCCTCTTAATCACATGTAATGAGTCCCATTCCACCACAACGATCCACTTCCCTGACCAAACCTTGTAATAACCATGGAAATTCAGCTTCTCTCTCTATCACCTTAATCACATTTAATGAGCCCCCTTCCACCACAACTGATTTGTTAAATTAGTTAACCAATTTAATACCTTGAAGCATAACGGTGAATTGTCGAGACAATTCATGAGTGGAACCAACACGATGAAGAGGAAGAACAATTACGTGTTTCATTTTGGTATCAGGTTGTATTTTAATTGTTGGATGTTTCATTTTAGACCATATATTTATATCCATGTTCATTATTTTAATCTCTTTTTTCAGTGATATGAATGAATGGTTAGCATCCATCTAGATAGGAAACAACGTCACAATATTCCCGTATTTTTACAAAAGAATGAAAGTACATAATGCACCACTCCCAATTTTTTTTAGAAACTAAAAAACCACTAACTTCATAGAGTTTTTGAATTTTTCTTGGGTTGAAACATTGATCCGCCCAATTCTCCAATCTGGATCGTTGATCCGCCAATCCAACACGATTTTTGGGGAGGCTGATCCGAATTACCGATCCGGTTTTTCAAACCTTGTATTGAAATCTTGTTGCCTTTATTTAAATTGACAAAAACATAATATAGTTGATGAATAATGCAATTTAGAGTGAACCACACCAAGTCTTGCACCTCTTAAAGACCAAACTCGGTTCCCTAATGAGCCCGATCCAAATCAAGGACTCCTGGTCATCATCACTTTTCAAAACGTTGGATAGGATGAAGATCTTATTTCTACCAGAAAGAGATGAAAGTCACATTTCAAATTGTTTACGAAGTTCATGTAATACTGTGTCTACCACCCGCCTTGTGCTTGCTGGACTGGACCAGATCCAACCCTGGCTGGAATTTATTGTGTCAAGGCTCGAAGCTAAATTACAACTTCTGGCCAAGTCCTGACAGGAAAATTGAATTGACCCATCGCTAATTGGGTTAGGCATACATATTGATATAATTATACAAATTTTTTGTCCGGGCTCATGCCAAGCAAAGGCTCCTCACTCGGCCCAAAGATTGCTGGACCCAAGCCTGGGTCAAAGGCCACAAAGTGCCAGCCGAAAGGAGCCCAATGCCAGGCCAATCGTGGAGGGCCATGGACCTGCACAGCCCGAGAGGCATCCATAGGAACTAGGGGCACCCCTTGAAATTTAGGGCACTCTATGGCTAGTTCATAATCCATCAACTCATTGGTTTTTGTCTTATCCAGATTGCTCTCCATGGATTTCATACAGGGAGTCCCTATTTTTTGATATGTTAAATGAAAATATTAGAAAATGCAAAAAATTCGTGATAATGTTTTCCTTTCTAGACCTCATTCTTTTCCTTTAAAGATAAATGAATGATTATCTTAGGAATATAGGCATGGGTTAAGTCCATTATTTGAACTAGTCAATAATTATAAATTATATTTCAATTCTTGTATTTTCTCATTACCAAAAATTAATTTTTCGTTTAAATTGGCATACAGTTTCTTTCTTTAAAGAATAATTAGTGGCAGTTAAATCCACAAAACTTTAAATATATACTTTTCATTGGAAAGTGGAAATGTAAAAGAAAAAAAAAAAAAATCCACAAAATCAGGTATTTTATATAATAACCCTAGGTATCTAATCTCCACGTCCAACTTCACATGGACTCCGATTAAATAGAGGATAGATATCGACTCCTATTAAATAGAGGATAGATATCCCATTAATAAGATTATGTCATAGAATTTCCTTCTCTCTATCTTGGTTAATTTTCTTGATTCTTTTTCCAATATATATGGAATGATAGATTGGTTGATTCTTCTCTTCTATTAAAACAAAATTATCATATAAATTATTGATGAGATTTACTATTTGAATAATTCATTCTAATTATTGTCTGATATTATAAATCTTCTTGTGAGAGGAGGGAGATATTTGAAACCTTTGGCAGAGAGAGAGGAGAGACGTATCAGATTTTTGCAGAGAGAAGTAAGCAGCAAGGTATCTCATCTTTCTACTTGTTCTCTTTAATTTTTTTTGTGTGATTCTTTTACTGTATATTTTATTTGTTTCTTGTTGAAGATGTGATGAATTTATGGCTCTATTTCTCAAATTCATGTGAGTAGTCTATGAGATCTGAATTTTTGTTACAGAATTTGCTATTCAAAGAAACTTTGTTTTCGAGCATACCAAAAATGGGTTCACTTCTAGATCTTTTCTTTCCTCCACCAACTTTTTGAATCTTTGTGTCTCTCTTCATCATCAGATTTTCACCCAAATTTGGACAATGGTTTTGCAGTTTTAGGGAACAACAGCAGGTTTGTCGTCAGGCAAGGCTTCAATCATGAGAGAGATATGCCGGATCTCTTGCAATCAAACATGGGGAACAACAAAACCACCTTGAAAAGGTAATATTCTCTTCGCTCCTTTTATGTTTTCTTGGGTCTTTTTTCTTTTATATTTTGCTTTTTAAATTTTTCTTGAATGAACCAAGATAAACAAGAAAACAAAAGAGATATTATGCGAGAGATATTGGGTTTCAAAATTTAATCAAATTGAACACAAATAGAGAAGACCTAGAGATAAATGGGAAGAAAAGATCCATGACATACTTAGAAAGAATGGGTTCTTGATTGGGGGATTGTATATATTTTTGTTTTCTTCTCAATTACTCTTTCAAGTTTCAGGTCTGGAAACACAACAGGCAAGAGCATGAACGAGGGGAGAGAGCAATTGGTTATCAAATAAAGAGAGAAAATTATATTCTCGTGGGGAAACTTGGAGGATGAAAGATTGCAATGAAAGTTCTAACATTCGGTGGAATTACAGCCGAGCTACCTAGGGACGAAAGATGGACTGAAACTTCAAAAATGTGCATCAACAGGGGAGTGCACTTCTACTTGCGGAGCGGCCTCTTGTAGGTGAGAGTCTCTCTCTCCCTATGTATCTTTCTAAGTTAGGTTAAGGTTATTAGGACTTGTATGTGTCAAATATTCTCTCTATATGTGAGGCTAAGGGTGGCAACGGGCTGGTTTAAGGCTCCCTAGCCCTATTAGGGTTGGACCGAGCATAAAATAAATGAAAGTTCTGTAACAAAAAATTCAGATCTCATAGACTACTCACATGAATAGCAAATTCTGTAACAAACTAGGCTAAAACTCAAGCTACCTAGTGCTAGATTGGGCCAAACTAGGCCAACATTGGCCCTAGCTCAGCCTTCGGCTCAGTTCACCCATGCCCTACTTTCTAAGGCCGAGACGACTAGGCAATCCTGCTCGGCCCATTGCCAGCTCTATGTCAGGCTAAGTCGTTAGGACTCCTACATATTGATGTTGATTTGGAGGTAAAAGAACTCCTTTCTTGTTGTTAGTACTTGTACATTGTTTATACTCGGATTTGTATCGGTCACAAAGACAGATCAACTCAAATATTGTTGCAGACACCTCCTTCAAAATTATGGCTAAGAGAACTCCTAAAAACCTCGATTTTGGTCCTAAAGAACCACACAACCCCTAGTAGATCATAGGTAGCTTAGACCTAATTTAACTACTCCAAAACTATCGAAATCCTATTCAGACTTGAAGTAGAGCCCGATATTTTTCCAACGGTCCAAGAATCGCTTGAATAAGACTTACAGATAAAATGATATAACAAATGACAATTTAGTCCATGTGAGACCCAAGTGCGGGCCGCGAGCCGAGCTGTTACGCGGCCCGGAAGACCCATATCCAGCTTAATGATACAGACGCGGCCTGATGGTGTAGTCAACGTGTTTTATGAAGTAGTAAAGGCGTTTTCTTGAATTAGATAAAGCTAAAACTTCAAGATAAATCCAAAACATTTCGAAAAAATTTTAAAAAAATCAAGATAAATCCAAAACATTTCGAAAAAATTTCAAAAAAATCAAGAAAAATCACCAATTGGATCTTATAAATACCCCCTCTTGGTAATAAAAAAGGAGGATGAAAGAGAGACCAAAAAAAGAAAGAAATCCCTTAAAAATTTTTGAAAATAGAAAAATGGCCCAAAAATACTTAAAATAGGAAAATCCTTTAGAAAATTATTAAAAAATTAGAAAAATCCCCAAAAATCAAAGAAAATATTTGAATTCATATTCAACCTTTGGAGATCCCAAAAAACTTAAAAAACTAAGAGAAATTATTCTCCAATCCCAAGAAATCTTAAGAAAAGCATAGAATAGACCCTACCTAAAATTCCCAGCTTTTCCCCCTACTTTAGGAACTAGATTTAGGTAGAAGAACCTTAGATTTTACAATTTCAGCAAGAAAAGGCATCCAAAAATAGAAGATGCTGGCGTAAATTAGAGGAGCGGCTTGATCCAAATCTGAAACTCCGGGTTTTGGTTCCCTCGAGGTAAGTATCACTTTTTTTGCTTGATTTAGTTTGTTTTTATTCATTTAATTTACTTTTTTTTTTATTTTATTCTAAAAATTAAATTAATATTAGATTTAATTAAATTTAGAAGCGTTTTTAGGTCAAAATATGGATTTGGAGATGTCGCTACTAGTGAATTCAGAAAAGACCGGATCTGTATAGATCTAGGATTTTTCTGAACTCATAATTCAAGCGACCCCACTCTCTCTAAATTTTCAAAAGTAACTCAGTTTTTGCTAAGATTTGAACAGATCTCATCCCAAGGATCAAAGCGTAATCGACGTAGATAGGAGTGTAAACCGTGTTTATGCTCCGATTTGTTCTGATCCTTGGGATGAGATCTGCTCAAATCTTAGTAAAAATTAAGTTACTTTTGAAAAGGTAAAGAAAGTGGGGTCACTAGAATTATAGGCTCAGAAAAATCCCAGATCTATACAGATTCGGTCTTTTGCTGAATCCACTAGCAGTGTTAGCTCCAAATCCATATTTTAACCTAAAAACACTTTTAAATTTAATCAAAGTTAATAATAATTTAATTTTTCAGGAAAAAAAGAGGATAAAATAGAGAATTAGATGAATAAAAACAAACTAAATTAAGCAAAAAAAAAGTGATACTTACCTCTAGGGACCCAAAACCCAGAGTTTTAGGCTTGGATCAAGCCGCTCTTCCGATTTGCGCCACCATCTCTTTTTTTTTGGATGTCTTTGCTTGCTAGAATTGGTAGATCTAAGTTTCTTTGACCTAGATCTAGGGTTCTCCAGGCAGAGGAAAAACTGAAGATTTTAGGTAGGTCTACTTAGGCTTTTCTTGGTATTTTTGCTTATTGGAATTGGTAGATCTAAGGCTCTTTGACGTAAATCTATGGTTCCTAAAGTAGGGGAAACATTGGGGATTTTAAGTAAGGTCTACTTAGGCTTTTCTTGGTATTTCTTGGGATTGAAGAATAATTTTTCTTAGTTTTCTAAGGTTTTTAGGTTCTCCAGAGGTTGAATATGAATTCTGAGATTTTTTTTGATCTTTGGAAATTTTTTTAAATTTTTTAGGAATTTTTATAGTTTTTTTTTTGGGTATTTTTGGGCAATATTTATAATTTCGAGAATTTCTAAGGGATTTCTTTCTTTTTTTGGTCTCTTTTTTGTCATCCTTTTGGGTTAGGGAGAGGAGGTATTTATAATATTTAATTGGTGATTTTTCCTGATTTGTTTGGATTTTTTTCGAAATTTTTTGGATTTATCTTGGAGTTTGTGCCTTATATAATTCAAGGAAACGCTTTTACTGTATCATAAAACATGTTGACTGCATCACCAGGCCGTGTTTGAGTCATCAAACTGCATATGGGCTGCCAGATAGCGTTACAGACCACCCGTGGCCCGACACTTGAGTTTCATAGGGACTAAATTGTTATTTATTATATCTTTTTATCCGTATGTCTGATTTAGGCGATTCTTTGACCGCTGGAGAGATCTCGAGCTCTACTTTAAGTTGGGATAGGATTTGGATAGTTTTGGAGTAATTAATTTAGGTTTCCTATGGTATACTAGGGTTTGTGTGGTCATTTAGGACCAGAATCGAGGTTTTTAGGAGTTCCCTTAGCCAGAATTTCGAGAGGGTGTCTACAGTTGCCCCCCTTTGACATTCATTTGGGGCACCAAATGAATGGTAAAGAAGTAGACACCTGAGACACGATGAGAAGGAAAACCTTTTTCGAGGGATCATTCTGTTGAATGATCAGTACCCTCTTGGGTAGGAGGTACGCTGATGGATGCTTTTGATCCGTAAGACATCGAACTGACACTACTATCTTTGAGTCAGTGTGGTTGAGAAGTCTCCGACAATTGGGATCCGAAGTGACAGTCAACAGGAACCGTGCTATCTTTGAGCTGGTGACACTTCTTGTTGCAGTCACTCCAATGTTATTTGGGAAGCTGCTAGTGTAGTCATCTTTGACTTTAAACCGCTTTTCTAGGGTCTAATTCTCTAATAAAATGATATTTTTATTTAGAAAAAATGATGGGATGGTGAATTTATGGCTAATTGAACTTCTTGTTTGCTTTCGATTCTGATTATTGGAGTCCACAAATCCAGGCTTTTTTGGTATGAGAACCTATGGGTTGGTCTCTGTGTTCCTAAGGGTTAGCAAGCGTGGCAGTCCAGGATTTGGTGGCGGCGGACGTATCATATCCAAGCCTCTATGAAACTCCTTTGTATTTTAAAAAATTTTAAAAGGGTTTTAAGACAGATTGATTTTTGAAATAGAAACAGAGTTTCAGGCTATGTTTTAACCAAAGAAATTAAGGTTTTTGAAAACTCATGAGATATAAGGGAAATTTTGAAAATGGATGAGAAATTTTGAAAACAAGTTTTGGTAAGCAGTTTAGGCTCATGCTACCATGGATCTCTCTCTTCTTCTTCCTTTGTTTTTTTTTTTCAATGAGCTTGTCGACTTTCAGGACGAGGAATCACTAAGTATTTCACCATCTTCCAATCTTGGCTCCTCTGTCACAATTCAAGGAAGACTTTTTCTTGTTTTCGGAACAAACCGGTGTCTTAGATAATATGAGATGTGCCTCAGAGTGCTCAAAATATCCTTGGACTTCCAATTTTGTTCCTCCACTACTGCTCTTTCAAACTTCAGATAGTTGAGCCTCTTCAAGTTTTCTTGAATTGATGCCTTCCTTTGCTTTTTGACATCATTCTAACTTGAGAAGAGAAGAATTTCTGGAGATTTTAGAGAAGAGACGAAAATATAGAGAAATTCTATTTTTTCTATCACCCCAGGGTCCCTTTTCGGTGATCAGCTCGGTAGCTTTTTTTTTTCCAATGCTTGGGGTTCCTTTCGGATTTTTAGCTTGACGGAAATTTTTTTTCTCTACTGCTAGGGTCTCTTTCGGGTGTTTAGCTTAGTGGTTTTTTTTCCCAACACTCGAGATTACTTTCGATTTTTCATCTCAGCGGATTTTTTTTTTTTTTGTAGAAGAAGAAGATGAAGAAAGAGGAGGAGGAGAAGAGTCAGTGGCATTTTTTCTTCTTGTGGCACTTCGTCCTAAAAAATAGAGAAAAACTCCATCATCCTTCCTTCTTCCAAGTGGTAAGGAGGTCCTAGTCTTGGTTATCCTTAGATTTTCCTTGCCCCTAATTGGTATCTGATACTTCTTTGGCAAAAAGGTTGTTGAATTCCTATAGAATATTTCCTCCTTAGACAACTTCACTCGAGCTTTGATCTTCAGACTCAGAGTCACTCTCAGTTTCATTGTCCTTCAATCTCTCGTTGGGTTGGCTGAACTCATTCTTTTTTTTTTTTTTCTTTTTTTCAACTCCTTAGATTGTCAATACCACAGAGTAGAAAGCCTAAGCAAAGCATGGATGCCCCACTTGGATTATTTGAAAGGGATGAGTAAGTGATCACCCATGCCTTTTTGGTAATCTTTTTCAGTTGCAACTTCATGTTGCTCTTAAGGAGCACATCGCCTCAAGGCGTGTTGGGAGTCATCGTATAATGTGTGGGCCT